TTGCTCTTCTAATCACCAGCCTTCTCCTGATTCCATCATTTGAACGCTTTTAGTGTGGGCTTGGGCATTGCGTTGTCAGTTACTTACTGGTATTCACCAGATGGTCCGTTGGTTTTCATTAAAGAGCTGCGGCTGTTGTGGATGACTGAATTTGTGGAGTCTAAGAGGAGGGAGCACTGAAACAATGTCACCTCCGGACAGCTACCCGAATTCCGCTTATATTGTGAGAATGGAAGAGCACTCCAAATGGTGCATGCGGTGACAGCCAGGAAGAGGTCCCTTCAAAGCGTCTCACGTCACCATCGAAATCCGTGAGATGTACAGGCCTTGGAAGTGCTTGTAATCTGCATGTTCTCCCGTCTAGTTGCGAAATGGCTTTCTACAACCGCCCCGAGGGTATGTACAAGGACCTTAACTGTTTTTATGTTTGTACGCAATTAAGTGGGTTTTCCCGGTTTCCCATGTTTCCATGCTACTTTTTCCACGGTACCCTGGCAGAGTATTCCACCCGTCTCGTGGCCTTTCATAGGTACCTTGGCTGCTGCTTTTGGCACATCCCCAACGCCCTTTAGGCCCTGTGAAAAGTGTGGTAGGTGTTGTTGGTAGATTGCAAAGCCTTGCCTAAATTACTTGGGCAGTCTCCGTGTCTAAGGCTCCTTTTTACTAAAGGTACTCAAGAATAGGTGAAAACGGATTTTCAAGACGTTATGCTTTATTCCATTGGGACAATCACCTCCACCAGAAGCAATACACCAAGAATACACGTCAAATGTGTCTATCGTGGAGGTTGCACAGTACCAAAATCAGGCTCGCCTGCCACCTCAATTAGTGCGTGACGTTCTCCAATGCTATTATGTCGTGCCGATGATGTCACACCGAACTCACCCCATTGCTAGTGCATTCCTCTTCTCGAGGTGGGTTGATGTCACTCCTTGCATATGATAGGAACATACACATTTATCCTCGTTCTCAAGTAGTCCTACTGCAATTAATTTCCCCGTACCATCTAAGTTCATTTTTCTATGCAACAAGGCATAGACGAGGTCATTGTTGAGCACGCACCAAGTTGGGCTAAATTTGAAAGTGGAATTCGTGGGTGTCTTTTTATCGTCCACCACCCATCGATCCCTTCACGGCTTCAGCTTAAACGAAGTTGTTGCGCACTCCACCTCCCATTTAGCCGTATGATGAAAAAAAATGCTTGCTCCCGCTTTCATTGGCAGTGCCGTACGCGACCCGCTTGACTCAGCCCAATGACATTTGATTTTCAATCGACGTATTTGTGATGGACAGCAGCCTTTCCTTGTAGAGGCCTCGTGACAAAAAGCCCTTAGGGATGCATGAGGCTACCCCCGAGTTGTTGGCAAGGTCTCAACATTTCCACCAGGAATGCAAGGAGGTCATACCCCAGGTGCGGCATTGCGGCCTTGTTGTTGTTTTTCCATTGATCAACATGACAGGTGTACGTGAATAGGGCAGGCAACGGTGTTACGGTCATGCCGACGGCTCAGGTCACTGCATGATAAAACACCTACACTGTCTCTCTCTCGCACATATCTCTGGAATATTCTATTTTGCGCGTCGAAAACAATTCCCGCTGACATTTATTCTTTAATGATGCATATTACCACATAGGGCGTTACACTGCAGTAGAGAATAATTTGAATCGTGTGATTTCATCATCGAAAAGTGACTTGCGTACAAGAGTCCCCATTTGCAGGGCGTGGAGTGTCGCCCTGTGAGGGCAAGAAGAAAGAGATGAGTAATTCATAATCAATCACAAACCAAAATGTAAAGTACAATTTAAGGCCTGAAGGTACTTGGCAAAAGAGAGAGAGCTTCCTCAGTCGAGGGACTTTGGCCAAGAAAAAGGGCGCTTGAATGTGAGTGGGTAAGTAAGCAAGTTTGGAATAACACACTTGTGAGGTATTTAATGCAAGCAAGGGATGCAAACGGATGTTATGTAATCCTTCGATAGTTTGTTTAGCTCTATGTTTACCTAGCGGACATTTAAGGCTCCACGGTCTGTAGTTAATTAGTTGGTTGTTTGTTTAAGTTTCGGTTTTGGTAAAGGGGCTAATTTTAGTCCCCGTCACTGTACCTTCGCCAAGCGATCCAGCCCCCAGGCCATGCCACCAGAAGGCACGAGCCCTTCTGTGTGTATGTCGAATGATATGTGTATATATTCTGCCCGAGTACTTTGTCTAATAACGTCTTCAGGGAAATCTCAGTGCGCTACATGATAGTGGTGTCGGCTGTTCTCCACGCTAGCAGTGCATTTTCCTTGGCACAAAGTAAAGATCAAACGATTTTTCGATAAAAGAAGACACTGTGGGAAAATTACTCAGCAGTGAGGTTGAAAAATGTTTGGAATGGGATGGAATCTACCTATTACTCACGTTTGAAGTAAGAGTTATGAGGCTAGGTGTGTCAGGATAGCTAGAAGTTACCTAATGAAGGTGTCTTAATTCAAAAATATTCATTGATTGTTATTAACGGTGTGATAAATGTTCAACGGAAGGAAAGAGAGCTGTTTAAGTGCTCAAATAGACTGGGTAAGGCAATTAGAGTATGCTGGGTAAGTCTACGAATCATGCCATTTTTTGCTGAAACAAATAACCATTTCGTTTTTTATACAGCACTGCCTAATAATGTTGCTAACCTGACCTAGCCTCGTAAGAACACCTTATCTTCGTAGGATTGCTAGTTAAAGCCTCCATTATGCAATTTTACTAACTAAATCTGGAAATTTTACTTATCACCTCAGATGCACTAAAACAAGGCTCGGATTTCGCTTTCAAAATGCGAGTTACGCGGGAGGTTGCATTGGTGTACCCTTTCGTTCGGTTACTGTCTTGTTTTATGCATCCGTACAGCAAGGGTGGGCTTATCGAAGAGATTTAAAGGTCCACGTCAGATCCTACGTATAGGAGGCACTGTATGTGGAGAGGTGTGGAATATATTGCAAATGTGAGTGGAATTACCAGTTTTGATTATGCTGCTGCGTCTTTACGCCAATTGAGTATGTTTTTTCTTGAAGTAATACACGCTTTTGCCTTTAGGATGTCTATGTACTACTGCTTAAATTGCGGAGGTTTTATGCCAGTTATCTTAATGAGCCTCTGCTTGTCTTCAACATGCAATCTTCATCTCGAAGTATTTTAAGCATCGTGGTCAAGTTTCATCGGTTATTCTTCGTTTTCACATATTGGACGCATCAAGGCGCATATGTCATATTGTTACATTTATGGTTGGAAAATGAAGCAGTCAATATTGCCCCCGAACTCATGCGTTGACCTTGGTGTCTATGTTTCTCAGTTCCGACTTTTACCATCACTTATCTGTACCGTGTTGTGTAAGAGACTCCACTGCTGAGTAGGTTTACGAATGCAGACCAGCTAATGCTGATTCGCGTAGTAATTTTTGGTGCAGCCCGAATGTACTGCATCAGATTATTGTAAAACAACCGTATTGGAATGCATTTTTAACTGTAGCCGGAGGCATTACCTTCGTGGACATTTCCTCTTTCATTATCCAGTAGGATGTATTTTTTACGTTTGAATTCTTTTAAGTGATCCAGCATTCTTGTGGCCACTAGTTTACGAGTATATTGAGATTGGGGGCCTAGCTTGAACTTCTGATTGACTGACCACTGCCTTACGCTAAAAAATGCATAACATTATAAAAGTGATTTAAAATCGCGGTTCAGCATTGCAAGTATCTTCCAAATTGATGTACTACAGACATTGATTGCTTTTAAGTTTGGCCTTATAGGGAATAGAATGCTCCGCACCTGATACAGATTCAAAAGATCTGTGAGTAGTTAACTGCATACAAATTGGAATGCTGCAAGTCTAGTGCCGCTTTGGGGATTCAGACGTTCCCTACTTCAAGTGTTGATACATCGCTTATCAAGTTCTGGTTAGACATGTCGATTTCTTGTGTTTTGCACAGGATTCTATCCAGTTGCTTGGATGTAGTTTTAGTTGTTATTGTTGTTGTAGGTAGTCCAGTGCCCTCGAATCCGCAGTCATATTAATAATTACCCTGCAGATTCCCACATAGTTTGGGATGGGCAGCTGCGCCTGCGGTTTCCTCACGTGGCACCCTTCATTTTGTTTGCCCCGTTAATTCTAGCAGATGTGTTGAGATTTTTGCTCCTTTGCACAATAATTGCACGAGGTGCAATTCGTATGTTAAAATACTGGTGCAAAATTCAGTCATTTTTTCTCCAACATTGAGCTGCTTATTTACCTCGGATATTTCATATTCAGTGAATGCCGTTTGTTGCATTGGTGCCATTACTGATGAAGAGGGGCTATTTTATGGTTAATGGGACATTGTCAGAGGGGGAAGAAGCGAATAGGTAGTTGAGTTGGGAGCTGACGACTAAACAGATGGTTTACTTGTCCATCCTAGGTCCACTGGCCCATCGATAGATCTCTTCATCCCGCATCCATTTCTGCCGGGTAGCTGCATCTAGACATGCATCCGTTCATTCCTCGTTCCATCTATCCAATCCATATTTCTCCGCCTAACCAGAGTTAATAATTTTTCCCCTAAAAGACTGGACCAACTACTCAATTGAGGGTGACCAGATTGAATGGCTGGTTTGCTCGCAGTACGAGTGCTGCCGTTGGGCCATCACAGATGGCACCTCCTGTCAGGTGATGCTGGAGAGTGCCTATTGTCCCCCCCACTCGTCTTCTTCCCACGGCGGTGATGATCCCATTTAATGCTCGGAGCATCAGTTCGCTGTCTCCTCAGTGGCTTTCTGCTACTTTTCTCGTGCATTTTCTGTAAACTTTTGCGCTTTGGATGTTAGCAATCTTGATGTAGAAGACGAGAATGACGTGATGCTGGATGTGCAAGAGGTCACGAGGAGCAGGAGACTGACGATAAGAATGACTAAGACGTCGCTTTTGTTCAGCAGGTAGGTCCCTTGGAATCACTGACACCACAAGACCTGCGAAGAGCATATTGTTGAAAGGGCCGCAGTGTGAGCCAGTCAGTCCGTCCGATATTGATATTTTATTCACGTCATGTCGAATCCTCATCACACAAGCGGGAAGCTTTGGTACATTCACCAATTTCTTTCAACTCTCATAAGTGAACGTGATGTGTGAGCTCTGCCGCAATTATGCATTCAAGTGCGAAATGGAAGTTATTTTGTTGGTTGTCCTGGAAACAGAAATACAGCTAATAAGCCCGAGGGTTTGAACGCTCACCAGATGTTTATGTGTCTCCACAAGAGGAGCTGCGTCGAATTAAAGCAGATCCTAATGCTCGAAATGCCGAAGCACAGGAGACACTGAGCGCGAAGCGAATTCAAAAGAGTACGAGATTGATCGGAAGAAGACCAAACACCCCATGGTTTGGTGGCAAATGGATTGGATTCGCCCATAGTGCTTGGTCAAGCAGCACCCGCACCATGTGATCTGCATTAGGTTCATTTATTGTCATTGCCCACTTACAAGCGGATAGTAGAGGTCATGTCTGACACACGAAGGGGACCACCGAGTGGCATGAATGCCCGAACCGGTCGGATTAAATACTTTGGTATGCTTCCGTAAACTTTCTCATGGGTATACATTGTGTGTGGAAACTCCCAGATGTTTGGGCTACCGCCATGGCAGGAACCATTCATGGGGTCAAGTAGTTGGCGGCCTCGTTTTTACGTGAAATAGGACGTCTTCGCGCATTCCCCGACACAGCATGACTGCGGTCGAGTAGTCTTCTGTCAGCAGTGTTTTTGCTGCGGAAACGTAACCACTACAATTTTATATGAATTTGGCAATTCATTTGCGATCTAACCTCGAGCATTTTCTGCCTCCATTTAGTTGAACATGTGGGTCATTGGCAAATCCGCGGCCTCGTGAACCTCTCTGACCATCTGCTCTGATTATTTGTCTGAATTTTCGAACGAGGATTCTACCCAATGAGAAGACGACCACTGGAATGCTGCAGTCACCTCCATTCCACGCATTCCTTCCATGACACCTTTAGTGGATTATTCAACCTACTAGGCCGTGAAGTACAGCTGGCGATGTTTCAAGGCTACGTACGGATGGTGAGTGGTTTGGCGTCCGTTCTTCTGCACATAATTCCATGTTGCACTGAAGTTCAGCCGCACGAACAAAATTATTTCTGCATAGAATGTAGCACAAGTTATTTGCTGAATAAACACGTTTTCGTAGATTTGATCTGACTTTGCTTTGCTTTGGTAACCGATGTTTGCGATCCTGCTGTCTGTGACTTGTCATCGTGATTGAGGCATCGCATGGGAAGGAAGACAAGTGAGAGAAATGAGGGAGAGGAGGTATGAGAACCTGCTGGCACAGAAGATGTAGGCGTGAATGCTTTTGCGACTTCTGGAGCTTCGTGGTGCAGTTTTCGACATTTGACAGAACACTGCAGAAGTGGCAGTTTTTTTTTGTATTTAGAAAATGGGGTTGCCATTTGGGAAGAAGTTACTTGACTTCAATATTACAACATTTAGCGATAGCAAAAATATTTTTCTTATTTTAAGTGGCAAAGAAGTACCATCGTAAGGCACAATATTTCGTGTGTAAGTGGTGCGAGTTAAGTTGTGAAACAACTTAAAATGGGGACGGTGGAAGCACTTCAGCATGGGGCCAGGCAAGTGACCGATGGTGGCCAAAAGAGCTTGTTGTTTAGTGATATCAGGCTTCAGCTCATAAAGTTCAAGATGAGTGCTCTACCAACTAGAGGCAGAACTGCCGTTCCTCTGAGAAACTCGGGTAAGGTTCAGAGTGTGAGGAAGTGCCTTGACGTCCTGTTTCCTCTTCTTCCTCGCCTCTCTATGCCAACTTTAGCTCTGTCAATCCGCTATTCTGCTTTGATTTAGTGTCCTAAATTAAACGGAGGGCTCGAATAACCGAAGAAGCAAAGCCCTGCGCGTACGGAAGGACACCCATTTGTCAACTGTTCCTATCTGCATAACTTACAGATTGGAAGAGCAAACTGGAGAGGTGTGAGGAGAGAGCGCGGCAGATTGTATCGCAAATCGTGAGGTGGAGCGCAGCAGGAGAGGCGAGTAAATATTCAAGTTAACCGAAATCTCGCGCTTTTGCGAGTGTTGGAGTTGGGGAATACTGAAGATGTCATGGGGCAAAAGTAGTGCAATGGATGGAGATGTGAAGGAGGCTCTGAGGATCTGTGGGTGCAGCTCACTGCGGAGTGGGGAGGTGCTACCCACTCAGCATTGGCCATAGGATCTCGACCAAGTGGTTTGTTAACTGAAAGTGGAAGAGGAGGCAAAGAAGTGAGCGAATGATGTTGTCAACTTTTGGCACCACTTGAGGTAACTGGACATGTGGAAATAAAGAAATTTGTTTCAGGAGACTCTCAGCAAGGCTGAATTAGTATTATCACCCGTTCCAGAATGCACTGCCGTTTATTCCTCCGACTGGATTCAACTTCTGCTAGTTGTGTGCTGTGTGTCCGTGAAGTTGACTGTGAGGGATTGTGCTGAACCCTGATTGATCATGCTCATGCAGAAAGGAGGACATGCTTTGCATAGAGCCGGCCCAGTTTTAATGCCGGTGTCAACAATAACGAAATTCCAAAGTGAAGGTGGATGGATTGAAAATGGACGAGTTAATGTATCAGGGGTAAATAAATCGATGTACTCCTTGACGGATTGATGGACGGTACGGGGTGAATGGATGGGTGCTTGGAATCGGGATGGATGGGCTGTGGATACGGAATGGATGGATTGATGGATGGCTACGGGATAGATGGATGAATGGGTGTATACGGAATGGACGAGTGGTTGCGGGATGGACAAACGGATAGATTGTTGGTTGGATTCGTGATGGATGGATGAGCAGATGGACGAGCGGATTTGGCGTGCTGGGTTACATCGGTTGCGGATGAACGGAAGTTGCTGGTTGAAGTGAGCACCGAGGAATCCAAAATACATAAATTTGGAGGGTGGTGTGCAAGGATTACAGGGTTCTCTTTCACCTTCTGCGGCCTGATAACCAGCTAAATCAGCAATTGTATCTGAATACATCATAGGGGCCAAAAACAGCCTGTTTTGTGACCTGGGCTAATGAAACAAAGGCACGGATTACTGCTTCAATTTGAAGGGATGAATGGACAAAAGAGGAGGGCTGCCATAACGTTAGGTTACATGAGCACGTGGAGAGTTGAAGGGAGGAATGAAGCCAAAAGTAGAAGAGTTGAGGGATGAACACGCGAATCAGTGTGTTGGTGGAGTTGGAATGGGTAGACGGTGGAATGCTTCGGGCATGACCTGTTAACCTGATGGATTCAGGAGAGAAAGGAGGGATGGATCATGCCTGGATTAACAATAGGGGGATGGCTGAGGCCTAGGTGGATGCAAATAAATCATTGTAATTAATGGAACCGGAGTTGAACAGTAGGCCGATGAGTCTAGAAATTAATTGACATTCAAAGTGTTTTTCTCGGTGTTGGTTGTAGTAGTGCTTTGGAGCGAACCTGTGTGCCAATGGCGTTCTGAGAACAAACTAATGGAGTGAGAAGCTCACAGCAGCAGCCTGGAGCTCTCTCTCTCTCACACGCCTGTGCCACTGTCAACTGATTCCCCACGAGTGGAGTCAGTCTCACTGGAGGCGATTGGGAGTCCCTCTTCGCGACGGAAGATGCACAACCCTGGTGAGACTTCGTCTGAATGAACCAGTGGAAGATATCACCCACCAAACCATGGTGACGCAAGAACGAGACGAGGCGAAACAAATCTTTGTGGAGACATAGAGACACTTGAACCAGTATCTCACCTCCATATGAGGTTAGCACCGCCGGATTCCCCAGAAGTCGAAAGAAGCGTGCGCTTGAGCTTGCTGTCCCTCGTTCTTTCAGCTACCTTCGTGTATCTTTTTCAGCTCTACAAATACTAGCCAATTCCTTTCGCAAGTTCCATTCCCTCCCAATACATAAGCACATTTTCTATAGCCTCAATGAAGAAAAGTGCCGTAGAGCGGTTTGGAAGTAAGTACAGGCTCACTGTGAGGAAGATGCACACGCTATGGGATGGTTCGGAAAGAGAGGTGGATAAATGGAGGAGGGATTGGATGCCTGTGCTGAGGAATAGGTGCTCCAACGAGGAAGGGTGTAGATTGAGAACGCCTACAGGAGGCATTAGCAAGGCCTCACCTTCCACACCTGAATTTGCGACATGCTTACCGAACGTTTGTCCAGTCCGCCATTTGACTGAACGCCACGACTCCAGGCGAAAATTCGGCCGGCTAGACATGAAAAGTGATGCGGACGGAGTGCACCGATCTTCTGGTGAGCTGCTCAAAAATGTTACTTTTTTACTAGAAGGCATGAAGGAATGCCGAAGTTCAATGTTTGCCTGAAGTTAAAAGGTGGAAGGGATGGGAAAGGCTTTGCTCCTGCTCTTGTTTACGTTGCCAGTTCGCAATTTCAAAACACAGCCTTTCAGTGGAATACGTTGACAGGAGTCTTTGCTAATATTGTAATAAGTCGAGGCAGTGATAGAGGAGTATAGTACCGATTGAAGCAGAGATGAGTACACTTGGTTGGCGAAATCGTCGAGACAACAGTGATAGCTTCACTACCGTTGTATCACGTTAATGTAAGACCACCCTATAGGTGACAAGTGGACCAAGCCCATCGATTCCTAGGAGAAGGAGGCACCAGGTGGAGGCAACCTACAATTTTTGCATGAAAATCAAATCGTCTGCACAGCGCAGGCTCAAACACTCTACTCTTGGCCAAATATCAAAAGCAAATGTCATTTCTCGATATCAACACCACTCATATTCAACTTCAAAATATTAAATAGCGATTCTACATCCCCTTCTCCTGCCTTTCTTGCCCAATCTAACCTTATTCAGTCAGAGAAAGCCTAGGCAAGTGTGGATCGTTATTAGCAATGCACTTATCCATGCTAGGTGTGTTGTGTCCATCTCCAGATCCCCTAGTAATTTTGTTAATTCTCTTCGCTCTTTAACACCAAGTGCTGTCTAAAGAAAACGAGAACTGAGGTCTCACCGTTTTAATCATCACTCCATCTTTTGTCGAAAGCCATGCCAAATCTTGGAAATAAGACCAACACTCATCCTCAACCCATCTGGTCTGTGTGCATCCTTCGGTGAATCACGCCTACGTTTATATGCAAGGGTTGGGAAAAAGCGATGAATGATGGATGCAAAACCAGTAAATGATACCATCCTGTGCCGAAGTTATTTGCAGCCTAATGAAGCCGGAACGTGACCGCGATAGGAGTTAAAGTAAAAATTAGCAGAAAACGGTCGCCGTGTTTTGACCTAGCACCTATTTAGCCGTCCACAAAACTCCTTTCGACGGGTTGTACTTCTGTCTTGTGGCATGACCCCATGGCTTTCATTAAGCCGCAAGCATGTGATCAAGCTTGTGCCCTGACAAGTCGGCAATGTGAGCGGACATGGATACTCCCGACTTATATGTAGAAGTAGGGCGTACGGCTAGGTAACTACCAAATACGCGGGAATCCCATTCCTGTGTCGTCATAGTATCTCAGTTTGCCTTGACCTGCATGTGATACTGGCCAATGAGGAAAACGAAATGAGAACGTGAGTCTCACAATGATTTGCAATGATGGGTAATCATTTGCCTAAAATTGAAAGGGAACCATTTCGTGGGACCTAGTGACGTGCGTTAATCATTAACCACACATGACATCTGATTACATCGAAAGTGCATGGAGCATGACCCTGAAAGTGTCTTGGAAACGTCGTTGTATGCTTGATCAAACTCGTTGTGTTAATAAATGCGCTATGCAGATTATTTGTTTTTAACACCTTGATGAAGATTTGGAATTCTGGAGTGCTGTTTCGTAGGGCTTTCAGTAGATACTTAAATTTAATGGTGTCAAGTGGAGCATTGAATGATTACAAAACAAGCGTCTACTTGAAAAGACAAAGAAATGTCATCCTCGCGAACTGGCACCGTTTGTAACTGTGCGTCAGTATCTCATGAGACCAAACCATAAATTCCTTCACGCAATCATGTCATCATTCTCCTTTTAGCATATTCCAGATGCAAGTTGTGGTGGTTTGCAAATCTGTGACCTAAATTTGGAGCAAAGTAGATCATTAACTGTTAAAGCCTGGAAACACCAAAGATGAATAATTAGAAACTTTGCCCCATGATTATTCAATTATCCATGTTTCTTGATTTATACTGGTTTCTACTTTTACTAATTCAGTAGCAATATCGCGAGAATCGGGACAGTTTTCATAATTTATTGCCTTTTATGGTGCAGAGTTCACAGTTAAAATGGACCTATTGAGATTAGCACAAAAAACCCTGCTCTCCACTCAAAGCATTTAATGCTCGGCAAAAGTAAGCAGCTTTCAAATTTATCATGAAATTTGAATTGTCACATATCTTATTAATTTTTGCAATTTTTTGCATAAAGGGAAGAATGGTTGTGTACGAAATTGATGGATGCTGGATGGATAAATGTGTGTGTGGATACGGGACTGATTATCGGATGGGTTCAGGATAGGTAAATGAAAGGAGAGATACAGAATAGATGGGCTGATGAATGGCTAAGGGATGTATGGCTGGATGGATAGATTGTTGGTTGGATTCGGACTCGATGGATGAGTAGATGGACTAACGAATTAGGAGTACTCAGTCGCATCAGTAACAGATAAAAGGCAGCTGCTGGTTCAAGTAAACATAATCTTCTGTAGTCTTCAAAGCCTCCCGGCACGTTATCAGCAGTGGCATGTCATGCCACTGAGTGGAAGTGCAATCCACGGGGATTTAAATGTCCGCTTGATTGAATGCAGGCTTGGATGAACTACCACAGCATTACAGCAACAACCATCTGCATTCTCCGCTTCCATGAGGTGCCTTATGGGTGAAGTTGTCAACCTGCTTACTCACCTACTGATTGACAGGTGGTCTTCTTTTCTCACCTCAAAGTGCCTCGATTGAGCAAGCTTTCGCATTTTTGCCAAGCAACTTCAAATCTAGCGCTGTACTTGGCAGTCTGGCTTGTGACTGATTGTGAATCATTCGTCTCTTTCTTCTTTCCCTCATGAATGAAGTGTTTGTGCTTTGACTGCTCGACTGCACCGTCTCACAGGACGACACTTCACACCCCACAGAAGGGGACTCTTGTACACAAGTCACATTTCGATGATAAAAATAATCACACAATTTATAACATTGAGTAATAAATGACAGTGGGAGGTGTTTTTGCTGCGCAAAATGGCGTATTGCGGAAACGTTTGGGTGAGAGAGACGATGTAGATGTTTTATCATGCAGTGACCTGAGCCATCGGCATGGCGGTGACACCGTTGTCTGTCCCATACGCACGCATCTGTCATGTTGATTTGTGGCGAAAAAAAGCAACTTTGCTGTAATGTCACATTTGTGGCATGACCTCCTTGCATTTCCGGTGGGAATGTTGAGACCTTGTCAACAACTCGGGGGTAGTCTCATGCATCCCTAAGGGCTTTTTTGTCACGAGGTCTCTATAAGGAAGGGCTGCTGTCCATCACAAATACGTCGATTGAAAAACAAATGTCATTGGGCTGAGTCAAGCGGGTCGCGTACGGCACTTCCACTGAAAGCAATGTCATAGACATCTTCACTACTTCTTGGGCGGCTCCAAGAAAAGGGAGCTTTGAGCTTCCAACGGAGGTCCTGCTGCACTGCTTATCAGCATAAAGAAGCGAGAAGATGGGTTGAACACCAGAGGGTAATGTAGTTCATGGTGACCCGATTCTCCAGCGAAAGCTGTCATATTTTTGACAGGGTATGAAGGACGCTGGAATATACCAACAGCAGTAGTTCCGTTACCTCCGAAAGGCCTCAACTCTTGGAGACTTCACAAATTCAGTCATTGACAACATTTGCGACTCTAATAGAAACTGATTGACCTTCTACGAGACAAAAGCGGGCAACCGGCAATGCAGTGTCCCAGACCACACCGAAAGCGTTTCAACTAGGGGTATTAGAAGGCTAATGTGTAGAGGAACA